TTCAAAACGATAGATGATGGATGTTGCCTTTGGATCGCTGTCCCGTATCCTGATTGTCCCTGTGTCTTGCTTGAAGCATCTCAAACGGTACAAGATGGTACAAGATGGTACAAGATGGTACAAGTAACATCAAGTACTGTAAGGCATCAAGTAACAGTTGATAATCAGTTGATCATACTGGATCGTCCCCGTGCGACAATTTGGAGTGCAAGCATCCCGTTGGGCCCGTTGAGTCTTGAATCTGAGTCAGGACTCACGAGACTCATGATTCAGAATGTGAGAAGCCAGAAATCCTTTCCTATCTTTCCTGGCTTCTGATGATACGGGAACGACAGAATTTGATATTTTGTGACATATGATAATCCATGATAATCCTAAATTTCCCCGAAATCTTTTGTGCCCGCGCAAGTCTAGTGAGACCTTCCAGGGTCAGGGTGTTTAACCCTTCGAACTCGTCACTATCTGCAGGTGCGTAAAGTTTCAATGATGAGTGCAGGATGAGTGCACTGGGTGCAAATATTGATAAACACTTCTCTCTTCACTCGCTTCACTCGCTTCACATCAAGTATACATCAAGTCAGCAAGCTGGTTGCCATATGTTGCCATCATTCGTCGTACTGCCATCAGTAATCGTGCCGTGTGATGCCTTGATGTCTTCCCTGAGAGGTGTAGACTCAGTCGGTCTCAACCACGTTTTGCCAGCAGTTTCTGGAATAAATGCCGCAGTAAAGATCAAACATAAAATCAACAGGATGCTGGACATGTGGAAGAAAGCCTGGTATGTTCCGAAGGAGTTGGTCGTGAATTCCTGAGTGAAAGCAACAGCTGAAATCTTGACCGTGAGGCTAGAGATGGCTAGAGAATCCACTACAACAACCGCAGACTCAGGGAAGTGCCAAATGGATCCAAATGGAAAGTCCATGAAAGTCCCGTTTTCCGAGAACATTTAAAGAACTTGTCTTATAATTAGAAGTCTTAGATGCTTAGAAAGGCTTAGCTGATTTTTTCTTGCCATGTCCTGCCATAAGTTGAGCATTTCTCCCAGCCCAATGAGTCAAAGAGAGTGGACAGTTTTCTGCTGCAGCTCTATCGGCGGCGAAGAGCGGAACTGAGCAAAGGTCAACCATGTGGGACATGAGAGATGACTCCCGTGTTATCATATCACACAGTGTGTAACATTGCGTAACCTTGTGTAGAATCTTATGCGTATTCGACTTATCGACTTATAGTGGACAAAAACAAAGAACAGTGGCTACAGTGGCATATATTTGGATACATTCGGTAAACACGTGTTATTATATTATATGTTATTATGTACACAATGTGCAAACATCTTAGGCAACATCTTAGGCAACGGCAACATAACTGACATAACTGTTCCGAACTGTTCCGTTTCCATCATTACCTGCCGAGATTCATAAACCATGGGTGCCAGGCACGCACCCAGTCGTCCAACCCCCAAGGCCAAGGCAGTGCCCGTGGCGCGGATCTGTGTATCAAAGGATTCGGCGGCCAAAACGAAGAGAGACACAGAACCCATCTGCGGGAAGAGCTTGTTGCCTAACATCGGCGAAAAGTATAGCATTATGGAACATTGTGCAACAATTTTACAGCATGCACATGTCCCAACAAGAGGCTGTAAATGCCATGGATGAATCATGATGAATCCGCGCAAGGTCAATCGCGTCCATCAGTCCAGGCCAACATGTTTTGTGGCTGGATTCATAGCTATCCCTGGCCAACCGCAGCACAAGCTGCCATAGAAGCCAAGAATAAGGCCCTGTTCTGTGCCGCTGGCGAACCTCAGTGCGCAAGTCTTGCCTAATGCTAACAGCTGAATGCATCGAACATCATCGAACCAAGTGCTGGAAGAGGTGCTTTCAGCCGAGTGACAACACGCTAGAAGTTGCCGTGCCAATGAAGTAGAGGTACAGAACCTTGTGCTGTTTTGTTGGTAGACAACAGATCAACATCATATTCGTCCCTGCAGAATATGATGACAAAGGTTTCATGACACCGATCGTACTACCAAATCTTAGATTGTTTGAATCATGAGATGCCAAATCCACGCTTGCAAGCAACTCGCAAAAACCAGATTGCTTTGGCATGATTTGGCTCTGACTCGCGCCGCTTTCGGGTTCTAGGTTATGCAATGGGACAAATCATGACAAATGGACATCTCTCTCGAGATCTGTCGAGAGGCCCACTTTCGTGGCAAAGATAAAGCAAAAAGCAAACCAAAGAGATCTCCAGGGATTTCCTGAGCTGCTGGGTGACAAAGTGTGGTCGAAATTGGTCGAAATGCTCAAATCAGTCCTTGGGGAATAGCATGGGGAGTAGCATGGGGAATAGTGAACAATGATGAATAGATATGAACAGTGGATGTCCAAAACAACTTCCGAGTTTCTAGGCAAGCGCCCTTTGCAAGCTCAAGGACAGCGCTCTCAGTCTCCGAGTGCATCAGCCTGCGCTGAGAGGCTCTTGACTAGTGGTGGCGGTCCGTCTGTCTCTGTGCGTGAACAAACAAAAAAATATCGTGGCAAGCAATGTTATCACACATACACACAATTCTGTTGAAAAGCCTGCAACCCCGCAACCCTGCCACCCACAACAAATTGGAGCGCAAAAAAGGGGCACATCCTACGAACAGCGGCTCAAGTTCACGAAAATCTAGCCTGCTTTCACGACAGTGAAATCATTTCGATCTTCACCAAGACTCCACAGGATTGAAACTTCATCACTGAACACTTTCTAAAATTCTAAAAGGAAGCTCCAAGAACTTATTGCCATTCTGTCTGCGACACTCTTCAGCCTTTTATGATCTTTCAGGCTGTTGCCTTGGCACAAGCTGAGGAAATGCAGTGAAAGTGCCATAGATCGTCAGGTTGTAGCAAAAGCACACGATACACAGCGCCACAGATCGACCTGCTCCAAATGTCAGTGATCAATATGACAGTAATTGTTCCATGGCAGCGAATCTCATGCAGGTTTTCAAGCTTGAGATATCTTGAGATGACATTGAAAGAGTTAAAAACACACGACACAACTAGCCTCATCGTAAAGTTTCATGCCCGACATCAATTCAAAACATGTGCACAGATATGCCTTATATTGCCTTACAATATGCCTTGAGAGATCTTGAGATACGATGGATTACACTACATATGGTTGATCTGCTGGAACCGCAACGACATGCCTGCTGGGAGTTGCGACAATCGCCCCTGCGGTGAGGATTCTGAGGTTCCTTAGCGGGCAAGTTGGTCAAAGGTTTGAGGAATTCCCGAGGAATTCCCTTCTGCCAATACTATGATATAATTTGATATAATATGATAAAAATCTATCATAATCTATATCTATTTCATGTAGACATATTAAGTGCCCTTGAGCGTTGAAGGACACATGTCACCTACAGTATGCAAATGAGTGCCCTTCCCCATCCCATGACTACTCACAACAGAGTTGCCAAGACATGTACAACGTTGTACTATTGTACAACACACTCTTTTCCGGGAAGAAAGACAAACGACATGCTTTCCCTAGGACAAGGAAAGGAAAGTATGGAAACGCATACATAGATTACATAGTTGTCAGTATTTCAAAAAATCTGTGACTGACTCTTCCTGGAGAAAAACAAACTGATGCCTTCTGCATCAGCGAGAAAATCGGCAGAGCTAGATCACTTGGCAATTCCTGCTTAGTTTCCTGAAGCCTTGGGGGAGGACAGAAAAGGAGCAATATGCCAAGGAAGCAAAACAGAAAAGAGTGTAGGCACAGAGCGTCCAGCAGGAGGCAAGGCGACAAATGACGGCACTGTGCCAAAAGTCAGGGGCCAAGCTCGGAAAATAACCTGTGGACCAGCAACTACACTAGAAAGCTCGAAAAAGGCCACAGCGTGCACTGAGCACAAAGAATGGCAACACAGAAATAGGATGTACCAACTTTTCTATAGTTTTTTTTCTGCCCACACCACCGCACTTCTCGTATCTTCTCGTCTTGCCACAACGACTGAGCGGCTTTCAAAGTCAATGTTGACGTCTTCCTTGCCATTCAATCCTTGGCAGCTCGATCCGCCAGGAGATAGGAACCATAGGAACCATGGAACAAAATCGTCAAAATCTTGAGATATCTTGAGACAGGAGGAAACCAAATCTGTGTATGAGGTAAATGGCCTGCTAGAACTGTATCGCACATTATTCAAGAGCTGTACAATTTTGTTCAAATCAAGCGTCTTCTCATTTCATGCAGGGTGTCATGTGCTTCTTGCAGATTGCCACTAGCTGCTGCAAAAACTGGAGATTCCTGCACGCGCGTTGCAAAAGCAAGAGGTTGTTCTCACTAGCTTGCAATATTGATCAATATTGTCGAGCACTGGTGATTTGTCGTGATCTAATCCCAAAGTCCGAAAGTGATTACTAGCTAGACCTAGCTAGTAACCCAGTCCTTCAGGTACAGCGAACTCAAAAGCCAAAAGAGGATTGCTGGTGCCGTATTGGCAAGCAATAGCATCCGCCAGTTCAAATGTTTCATGGATGGATCGTCTAGCCACATGACCTCAGCTCTACCATCCAAATTTCCCCACTGCATAAGCTGCCATTCCTTCCGGAAGGTCTGCGAGTCAAAGATGCCCCTACGACATAAAGTAAGCAGTAATTACATAAGATTACATAAGTACAAACGTATCAAGGTATATCAGTATATCAAGCATCACATTCTCTAAGCTTTGCAAGTCATTGTTGGTCTGCATCTTTCTGAGTAGTGTGTATCAAGGTGCTTCATCTGCTTTCTTCCAACAGTTAAAACCATGCGAAGTGCAAACCACCCAACGACGCTACTAAGACTCAGAAATCATCAGAATCAGCAGAAATCAATTTACACACAGTCACATCGACAATGTCTTACACTGCCCATCCCGATGTTTCAATATGTTTCAATGCTGCATCCATGGAGCCATACAACAGTAGAGCTCTCCAATCGCAAAGGCAACTTGTGCGAAGGCCTGACGATGGGTCTTGATTTCGGGAAACAATAAGGAGCTGAATGGATGTGTGGGCCTGTGTGCTGACACTACTATCATCAAGATTGATCAGTTGATGACACATGATCACACATTAAAACTTAAAACAATGATATTTTCCGCTGCCATACCAGCGCCACTTCTACTCTGTATATGGTTCTTGTTGAAAAATGAGTAAAATGCAAAACCAACAAACCAGCATAAAATGCATAAACAGGTAGTAAAATCATTAATCTATATGTGAACAATTTTAATCCTTGTTCCCGGATATCTGGTTGTAGTTGTTGGAGTCCCTAACGTCCTAGTAGCCGGATTCCAGGCAGCATTGCTGAGCGGCGCAAACACCGTTTTCCCTTGCGACTTGAGCCAAATATTTGGCGTCATGTCAGGCCTACTCCACATGCTTATACATGTGTGCAGTGCCGTTTAGTTCCCTTTAGCACCCCCCATGCCTACGGTGGCTTCGCACCGCAGGCACGAGAGTGGGAACTTTGAATTATATTGTTTGTGGTGCACGAATTACGCCTTTGCACACGCAAATCCATTCAGCTCCCCCTTCACCCACACCCGACGAGCGTAGTGGATCCGGGGTTGCCTACTCTATGGCATGCAATGCGTCAGCGCAAGTTCGAGCTGCACAACGCAAATTATCACTAGCTTGCAGCTACTCTACGATTACGGCTTCGCAAGTCACTCCATCGACGACGGAAGTTGACTGCTCCACCAAGAATAGCAATTGACGCTAACTAGTGAATTCACGTGCACATTGCTAAAAGAAAATCGTGCAGATTGGAAGTAGTGAGAACATGGAACCTAAGCGAATTAGTCTACTGCCTCGCTCAGAGTCCTCTCAATTGGTCTTTTCCTGATCATCTGTTCACAAAGACGATAGACATCTTATAGTCCAGTGATCACTTGGATGGACAGAGGTGGTTGATTTACTCCTCACGGCGGACTTTCTTCCACTGAGGTGTCGTTTGAGATTTCTCCCAACCTGCCGCACGTTTCGGAGCAGCTTTCGGCGATGCTGGTTTCGCAGGTGGTGCTTTAGGTGGTCCATAAGACTTCGGCATGGCCTTAGCCTTTGGTGCACTGGCCGATGATGACGCTGAACCAGTATCTCAGGTTTCTGTGAAGGCTGTGTTGATGATCTGGCTTTCGCGTCCGCAGCAGCACGCTTGGTGCTGGCACTGTCCCCGACTGCTTTGAATACTTCACCTACCACTTCGTCCCCCAGGTTCGGAGCCATCTTTATTTTCATTTCGGACTTTCCCCTCATCGCCTCGGACTCAGCGAATTGAATGGCGTAAGCCATCTTGCCGATGAAGTTGCGAGGTAATGGAATACCGCATTGTTGGGCAGCGAAGAGTAGTTCCACCCTTTGTTCCCTTTCTCTCAGACTCAGATATACCGAGAAAGCTGGGAGTTCAATGCAGTTGGGGAAGCCGTGGCTCCCGGAACGAAAGAAGGTGTATGACTCATATTCGGGAAAGGTTCCCTTCATCAATCGTCGGAGGAAGTTGCTAATGGTCACCCTCATCTCCTGCTTCTCCTTTGCATCTCCCTGCATCTTCGTCATTGGCATGAGGAAACCTAAGGAATCGGGAGTGTACCCGGCACAGATGAGAAACTCCATCATCTTTTCGTAAACTTCTAGAGTTTTGATGACAGGCATCATCATGTTTCTCGGCCGCCCAGAGTACATCAATTCTCCCTCTGACCATGAGTTCGTCTTCCCTTTCTCCTGAAAGAGTGCGTCCAATTCCTGCTCAGTCGGCCGCTTGAGTTTGCCGTCCTGATCTTCGCCCGTGTAGGGGCAGAAGTCGTCCAGGTCCAGTCGGACTCGCTTGGTGATTGTCATCAACGCATAGTATTCCTCTGGGGTCAAATTGACTCTCTGGTTGTAGTAGAGTCTGAACATTGCGATGATCTTTGACATCACGGCATTGTCGTACAAGTGAGCCGCGGCCTCGGAGACATCATTGTTTACTAGTCCATCTCCTGGCAAACCCTTGCTTCCAGGCACAAGATTCTTGGTCCATACTGGCAGGTTGTCTGAAGCCTCTTTCTCAGGTTCGACGTTCATGTCATCATCATCGTCCTCCTCAACGATCTCGTCGTCTTCCTGCTGAGTCTCTTCCTCCTGAGCCATTTCCTCGTCATCGCCTTCGTTGTAGTCGACTTCGTCAGGATTGAAGCCATAATCGTTGGGTTCAGGTACGTTTTCCTGTGCTTGGTGGACCGTATCCTCGAACAACGATTCTTCCTGTCGGCGAACCTCCTCGTCGATCTCTTTCTTGGTGGCTTCGTCTTCATCGTCTTCAGGAGCTTGTAATCTATAAGGTCGAATTCCACAGCTCTCAAGCTCTGTCCAGCATCCTAGACATACTGCCAATTTCGTTGGCGTCTCATTGAGGCAATGAGGGCAATGACGGCAACCTGAAGTTTCCACCCTCTTGCGCTCGACGATGTAGTCGACCAGCTTGATGCGGGCGAGGTATTGTTCTTGTCCACCCCCTTCAATTAGATTGTTCCTGAACTGGTGGACGATGTTCATTGCATCCATGGTGATCTCGTCATACGGTTGCTTTTCGGCGTCGATGCATTGACTTGCGATCCTCAGAATGGACTCCTTGGTGGCGACAGTTCTTGACTTGATAGTGCCTGACCGGACTACCTGGTCGTCGCCCGACGGAACGAACAACCGGTGCCATGTCTTGTTGTTTTGATCCTTTGGATCTTGAATCCATCCTCCTCTGATCGCTGAGAACGGGATGATCTTTGGCGTAACGATCTGTCCCGAATCCGTCAATCGACCACCGTACTCCACCATCAGGGTCTCGGTCGGGATGTAGAGGCAGATGTAGTCCCCTTTTCGTGTGTCAACGCTCTTCGTGATAGTCCATGAGCGATGATCCCACGGCACGTATGGATTGAAGAACGTGAACATACGATGACCTTCCCCAAGACCTCCAGGAATCAGTCCTTCCCTCCAAATGCTTCGAAGGTTGGTCTTCTTCGTGATGTGGAAGCAAACCGGCATTGACATGATGGTATTGGGCGCAATCGGATGCGAGAGCAAGGAGGACATCAACAAGACGTCGTCTCTGGAGGATCCCTCCTTGTGCCCTGTTGGAGCGCGAACTGCAACTGGATAGAGCAATAGCCCCTCGTCGGGAATAGGCGTGTCCGCGTTGACGTTGTTGTCAATGCATGTCAGGCTGCTGCGATCAATGTCCTTGTTGATCCCGAACGCCAAGATTTGTTCACGTACACGACGTCCATATCGGGCACAGTGGAACATGATCTTGAACAGCAACGCCATGCGGTTGCTCGCCTCTTCCACGTTCCATGCATTTCGATCGTTTGCTCTCCCTTTGGGGGCGAGGAAGACATGCGGCCAACGTTGGTGTTCATGTCTCCAGATTGACTCACACTTGAGTACGTCCTCAATGGGTACCCAGCCAGCATCGTCACAAAACAAGCTTTGTGATTCTGAGGCTTTCCCCACATTGTGTCGTAGGATCCTGTTCAGTGAGATGCTCACCTTGTCCTCATAGCTGTCGAGCCGATTACCGGTTTCGAAGCGATAGTTTGCCGCATACTCCACACCGCCAAAGTAGAAGCAGTTGAAGAAGTGGGCTCCCGTCGTGGGGATGATTTTCAAGAAACCATCTCGCGGCGCTTCGATCCGTTTGTAGAAGGGTTTTCTGATGTTGTTGTCGGAGTAGTTTGCGAGGAACTCTGGTACTGACCAAGTGTCACCTCCTCCTCTGACAATAGCGTCCCGGACCACTTCATTGAGATCAACGATATTTTGGGGTCCCAGCTTGGTAACATCACGCCCTTCAATACAAAACCTACCAGATTCATCCAGGTCTCCGACTTCGGACATAGTCCTGATGTTGTCGTACCAATGGTATTCACCAGTCCTTGGTTTTGTGGGCTCATCCGTTTGCCCTGACCCTTCCGTAGAACCTGATCCGTCCTTTCTGTGCTCAGGTGGTTCCATCTCGACGTCATCAGATGTGGGACTATCAGCCTCGAGCGACGCCCGGACGGCCTTTAGCACCTTTCTGACTTCATCCTTCTTCTCATTTTCACATTCGAGATGACCATGTTTGGCGCTACCACAGTACAAACACACATTGACATCCTCAGAGACAGTGAAGAGTTTTCCCAACGCATCCAGGAGTTGTTGTTTTCCGGAAATCTCTGAGTCCCTAACCACATCAGTAGGGTCGTTTGCTGGCTCATCAGCTTCCTCCTCCCCAGGGTGAGTCGGCGACTCGTCACCTGGCTTGGCATCAGCATCAGCGCCCATGTTGGCGTCGTCCCCTGTGACATGGTGCTTTCTTCGAAACTGAGAGATGACCTGATCTTTCTCCCACTCTGTGAGACAGTTGAAGTCATTCAACGTTTCATACCCGGGAATTGCGTGGATGATCTTCATGACCTTTTCGGCTTCTGCAGTCTGCAGGGTGCAGTCGAAAGAGCCTCGTCTCTTGTCATTGATGGTGCTTGTAGTTCTGGAAGTTGATGTGAATTGGGCCAATGCCTTCTCCAAGCCGTTGAGGAATTCAGCAGGGTCAACGCTGGCATTGAAGACATTCACAACCCCTTTTGCCATGTTTGCCACATCCAAGACACCAAGCCAAAGCTCGATGATGTCCCCAGTCTTCTCGGCTGATGCACGGGAGAATCCGAAGATTTCGTTCCTGTCCTTCACCTCAGGAACAGCGACCTGCTCGAAGAAGTCCTTGTACGCGACATTCCCGCAATCTTTCGTGACCCTGAAAGCCAGGAGCCACTTCTTCGCGACCTCATCATAGATTCTTTCGCGGTAGATGCTGAACTGTTTGCCGCGTCCATTCCGGAAGATCTCCAGAGCCTGTCTCTTCGATACCCTGACTCCCCCCATGTGCGAAACAGACTTCATCAAGTGCTCCCCGTACGGCAATAAAGTGTTTGAAATCAAAGAAGATG